GGCCTCATCCTAACTTAATTACCTCATTAAAGACCCTTTCTCCAAATACAATCACATTATGAGGTGCTGGAAGTTAGGACTTCAACACAGGAGTTTTGCAGGGACCCAGTTCCGCACATAACACCCTTCTTGGCATGAAACCTGCATCCTGTGGGCAAGCTGGTGTGGACTCTCTCACGTGCATCTGCAAAGAAGGAATAAATTTCAACATTTACAGATCAGAGAGTGTAGGAGACAGTAAAAGTGAGAGAGATTAACCAGGATAGAAGGAAACCAGAAATGTGGGCTGTCCAGAAATCAAACAAAATATTTCAAGGAGGGAGTGGTCAGCTGCCTTGAATATTGCTAAGAACTCATTTTAGAGGATAATTTCTACTTCTTAGCTTATTGAGGCATAATTAATATACAAAATGCATATATTTAATGTATACACTTTGATGAGTTGGACATATGCTTACACTTGTGATACCATCACCACAACCATGGTAATAAACATACTCCTCATCTCCAATTTCTTGTGTCCCCTTGCTTTTGTGTGTGTGTGTGTGGTAAGAACACTTAACATAAGATTTACCATCTTAACAAGGTTTTAAGTGCACACCACATTGCTAGCCATAGGCACAATGTTGTAATGTTATAGATCTCTAGAATGTATTCACCCTGCACTCTTGAAACTGTATACCCAGACGCCAACAGCTCTCCATTTCCCCCACTCCTCTTCCCTAGAAATCGCCAAACTGCTTATTTAAGTCTGACTACTTTAGACGCCTCATATAGGCAGAACCACACAGGACCTGTCCTTCTATTCCTGACTTATTTCACTTAGCATAACGTCTTCCAGGTCCACCCATGTTGTCACCAATGGTAGGATTTCCTTAATTTTTAAGTCTGTATAATATTTGACTGTGCACATCCCACATTTTCTTTGTCTGTTGATGCACATTTGGGACGTTTCTACCTCTTAGCTGTTGTGAATTGTGCTGCCGTAAACATAGGAGTGCAGATCTCTCTTTAAGATCCTGATTTCAATTCTTTTGAATATATACCCAGGAGTGGGATTGCTGGATTACATGGTAGTTCTGTTTTTAATTTTTTGAGGAACCTCCATACTGTTTTCCACAGAGGCTGTGCCATTTTACGTTTTTACATTCTGATGAGAACATGCAGCATGAGGAGAGACTAGTGATGCGGGGAAGAGAGGGCATAATGAAAACAGCAAGATTCCTAAACAGGGAGGAGGTGTGGGAGACAGATCACCAGTGGAAAGACTGACCATTAACAGGAGAAAAGCCACTTCCTGCTCTTTACCAGGTTTTACAGGATGAATGCTGTTCTAGGAAGGATTGTATATTGAGTAGTGGGATATGGAAGAAATTCCCCATCTCATGACTTCTTTTTCTAAAGTAAAAGGGAAAACCATTGGCTGAGAGAGAGACAGAGAGACAGAGAGAGAAAACAAAGTAGTCATCATGGAGAGTGAAAAGTAAGCCTTCTAGACCATGGGGATAGGATAATCTAATAATGTTTGATGATAGTTAATTTGAGGCTTAAGGATATGAATTATTTTTAAAGACAACTCAATTTTTATTTTATTTTCATTTTGTGGTGGGAGGTAGTTAGGTTAATTTATTTCTTTAATGGAGGTACTGGGGATTGAATCCAGGACCTCAGGCACGCTAGGCAGGCACTCTACCACTGAGCTATACCCTCCCCCTTAAGATCGTGAATTTAAAGAAAGCCTATCAACCTGGAAGCCAGTTCTTTGTGGCCAGGAAAGAGGAAAATACTGAAAATTGCTCTAAAGAGAGGAGGTTTAGTAATTGTCGCAGCTTCTTATTTACATATATGATCATTTAAAGTGTATAGGTGTATTGTAATCCATGACAGCGTTAAAGAAAATAGATAGCTTACAGAAGTTGGAAAGAAGTGAGGCAAAGAAGTGAGAAGTGAGGCTTGTCAGCATCCTTAAGTAGGCTGAGGAGCTCATGTACTTTTCTGAAACTTGAAAATTTCAAGTTCTTGTATTACTGAAATCATATGGGTTACCATGAGAGAAAAGGAAAGACCAGGAGGAAATAGTTTAAATTATCTAAATCTTCCTCTATCATAAGACAAGTGAGTATACAAAGTCAAAAATTGATAAAACAATCAGTGATAGGGGCATTTTAACTTGTAAATGTGGAGACAATCACCAGGGGAAATGAAAACAGGAAGTTAAATGTGATAGCCTGTGAAGAACTCCTGCTTTTCATTACGGGCCCTTTCGTATGATTTGATTTTTTTTTTCATCACAAATGTATGCATTACATACTTTAATAAAATCAAAACAAAAACTGTCTGGGTGTGAATGAAGACCCGAGCCAGGGCCCACCTTTGATAGAACTAGGTCGTTTTTATAAAGGTGATGTTTATTTTTAGCCCTTTCCATACTGTCTTAGCTCTCTTGATATTTTGTTTTCTCCCAATAGCAAAGGGGTTCACTGCTCTCCTGCCCCTGGCTTCCTCCAGCTCCACTAAAGAAAGTCACCTCTCCAGTTGTTTTCTACTTCTCAGCTCTGCTTATCACAAAATCAGCCTATTCTTGGTCCCATTCTCAAAATGACTTCTTGACTCATGGTGAAACTCAGGAATAATCGAATCACTGAAATTCCTTTCCTCCTCTTGTTCCCATCTCTGCCCAAATATTATTTTATGTGTGATCTCACTTAGGGAGGTGAGATAGACTTTTATATATATGCTTTTGTTTTGTTGGTTTTTGATCTTAGAAACAGAAAGGTGAGTCAACTAGGCTTTTCATAGTGTGTTACCATTACCATTCACACAAAGTACCTCGTGTGATTTTATCCCCTTTATTTCCATCCCCCACTTCCATTCTCCAACATCCTCAAGAATTTTTATTTTAATAAGCTCAAAGGAATCAATCTGTATTGACAGACTGTCAAGGCACTGGGATCGGTGGGGGGAGATCATTTGGGATTGTACGAGAAAGAGGCCTTTCCCAAGGGACCAGGTTATACTATTTTATAGGGTTCATTTCATTCTTTTACATGAATCAGTGGTCATTATTCACCAGGGCTGGAATCAGGATGGATCTGAAATAGCTGCTGAGATGTTTTCTTATTATTTCTTATCATTACTTATTATTTTCTTGTTGTTTAAAGTCTCCTTAATGTGATTTAAACAGGGACTAGCACAACACCCCAAGCATGTGGGTCCTTAATAAATATTTTCCTGCGATGATAACAATGATGTGGGACGTCCACAGGCATAAGGATGGATGATTTACCACACACCCTTAATTTACATTCTTACAGCACAGACGAGACTCAGCAAGTTACTTTGACTATTTAATTTGCTTTATCAGCATGTTGCATACAGGATAAACAAATCTGTAGCTGACAATTAACTACAATTACTATTTCCACTGTAATTAACTGGTGTCCACCATTACATAACCTACACAACACAAGGCATCTACTTCCCAGAAGTGCAGCACACTGTTTTCTATTTCTTGTATCTCATTTATTCAACAAATTTTTTTTCGATGATAAAAAACACTGGCATTAACACACATCAGAAGCTCATTACTTAATGCAAACAATGATTTTCTAGATGGGGGGGAACTGTGGATCTTTCTATACATTAGGGCACATTTTGCAACGTATTTCCCAATTTTCTTCCCAGAAGTATGAAATTTCTAAAGAAAAAATGATGAAATATATTGAATTGAAAAATCTTAAAGGCAGAAACTAGCTAGCTTGTTTTTTCCCACTGTATTTTCTTCTGTACTTTTAAATAGTCTGGATTTTATCTTCATATTGTTTTATAGAACTCATACATCTGTATCTTTCTTGTATTTGTGCCATTAGGTCTAAAAGAGGCCTATTTTTTTTAACCTTTTAAAAAAATACTCATTTTTGCAAAGTCTCTACTAGATTCAAACAACCTGGAAGCAAGATCCTGTTTGACTTCATCCAAGTATATTTTTCAGTTAAGTTCAGTGTCTTGTTCACAAATATTGCTTTTAAAAAGGAATAAACGCCAACTTTTTCTTTCTGTAGTTTTTAATATTTGATTTTAAATAAGTTCAAAAAAGGTTAAGCATAGACGTAGCTGCCCTCCAAAAATTTCTCACTTTCACGACTTGTGATCCCTAGTCGGAACCAGCAGGAACAAGCCTGCTGCAAGGCTGTGAAATATAGGAAAGAACAATAAGAGAAAGAAAAAGGAAGGAGTACGCGCTATATTACACTCACTTAAGACAAAAGTAGGGAAGCTGATTTTTTTGAGTGAAAATAACGTGACATATTTTGTGATGCAGATATTCAATTGTATGTTATTAAACAATCCTACTTATGTAATATGAAGCAAAGCCTGACCCCTGGCTCTGCGGCTTGCTGAGACCTTGGTCAAGGCACCGACGTTGCCAAGTCTGTGAAACGTAAAAAACATCTACCCCACGACGGTAGATGTTTTTAGCCGACGAACCGAAAGAGGCTGACTCGGCACGCCTGTGACTCTCGCCGACGTCTCCCCCGTGAGCGGGCGCAGCTAGGGTCTCCGGGACTCGGGCGGGCTGCAGTTTGAATCTTATTCACAGGCTGCCCCCGTCGGGCAGGTTGACAGCTGGGCCCCGGGCACTACTGTCCTGTCTCAGGGGGTGAAAGCAGCCAAGCTCAAGCCGGCACCGCAGGGCCCAGGGCGCGCCCAGAGGACAGGCGGAGAGACCCAACCGGCCGGCCGGCCACGAGGGCTCCACATTCTCCAACGCGCAGCGTCTTCAGCGCCTGCTCTGTGCGGCGGCAGAGAACGTCGTACGTTCAGAGCCGACGTCAAGGAGCGCCGTCCCAGAACACGATCTCATCCCCAGGAAGCTGAAAACAAGGCCGTAGCAGCCCCCAGAGGTCAACAGACCACCCCCTCGGCCGCCATGGCGGAGCCCGGCTTCCGGCGCGCCCCGCGGCTGGCCGTACCGCGAGCCCTGCAGCACGACGGGGGCGGGGCCGCGGCCGTAAAGCAGCGCCCGGAAGCACTTGGGTCTGAGCGGCCCCGCGCCCTTGCAGGTTGTCGGGCGCCCGGGTCATGGCCGGCCCGGTGCGGGGCGGTGGGGTCCGGGCCCTGGGCCTGCTACGGGCCCTGCCCCGTGTGAGCCTGGCCAACCTGCAGCCGAACCCGGGCTCCAGGAAACCGGTAAGTGGCTGGGGGCGGTGCGGGGTCGCGGGTCCGGAGGCACTGGGGGAACGCGGGGTCCTTAACTGACGCGGGAGAACCTGCCCACGCGGTTCCAATTGGCAGTAAGGTTCCTGTTTAGGAGCATAATTACGTTAACTAGGCCGGAGACCGAAGCTGCAGGAATTACCAATGACTGTGTCTTTCAAAACGAAGTCTTTTTCCAGTGTATCTTAACCTTTGTGGGAAAGATTGATTACGTTAGGTGTCTGTTCTGCCAGTCACCAAACACGGCTAGAAAAGGTGTCAGTGGACAGACTGTCGTTTTAAAAATAAACCCGTTGTAGGGAGGATATAGCTCAGTGGTAGAGTTCACGCTTAGCATGCATGAGGTCCTGGGTTCAATCCCCAGAACCTCCATTAAAAATAAATAAATAAGCCTAATTAGCCCCCAATAAATAATTCACTGCTTTCATGAAATGACAGGAAGTAAATTAGGAAAGGTATTTTCTTTATAAATTCACATTTGAATAAAATACTGTATGTGGGTAACAATGGTGTAGTTACAATTAAGTCCAAAATAAATACGCTTGATCTCATGTAAACTTGGCTTGTTCTGGATGTTTAATTCCAGGATTTGTGTCACTTCCAGCCTACCAAAGAATCCTTTTTCTCATCTCGTCCTTGGAACTTTGCCTTTGAAACACATCCTGGGCTTTGGTTGCAAGAATTAGCTCCATCTTCAAGGGAAAAGTTGCAAATGTAGAGTGTTTGGACTTTTTAGAGCAGCAAGAATGGTGCCCTGCATGCAGTGGTGTTAGCTGGTACTGGTCGATTGGGTTGAATGAAGGGCCTAACGAAAAGAAACAGATCAAAGGTGAAATACAGTTTAAAAAGATGCGTCTGTAGCTCATAAAACATTTCTTTCCTTGTAGGAAAGACGACCAAGAGGTCGGAGAAGAGGTCGAAAATGTGGCAGAGGCCACAAGGGAGAACGGCAGAGAGGAACTCTGCCCCGACTGGGCTTTGAGGGAGGCCAGACCCCGTTTTACCTTCGAATCCCAAAATACGGGTTTAATGAAGGACACAGGTAAGTTCGTTTTGCTTTTTTTTTTTTTCGCTTTGCTTCTTAGCATAAAAATCCCTACTTTTTACTGAGAATCACCTTCAAATAGCTTGGTAGAAATTTAAATCCACTTTGAAGCAAACGTTGCTACTGTTTCTCTGAAACATTTTCAGTAATGAAATTTAGCATGGATTAGTAGGAGAAAAAGCCAGACGTTGCACTCAGACCTGCAAGGTGGAGCCGACAGTGCCGGCTCTCAGGGTTGTCTAGAGCAGTAATATATATATATAAAAGCCTGGCCCGTGTAGTTGCCCAATAAAACGTAATTACCATTACTTTGAGTTTCATTTATAATGTAATTCAGATAGTGGGTTAAATTTTCCACATATTTATTTGTGTAAATGAGTGAAATAAATGCTTCCAGAGGCAAATACTGGTTTTTTTTCATTGTCAAAAATCAAGGAATATTACATGTTTATGCTGTCCTCAGGATCTTTTTTAAGCCATCTAAATTGATAGAGGAAAACACAGGACAGAGCTTTGAGTTAATTGAAGATCCTACAGGAAGCTAAGCCTGACTGAGTTTTCCACCTGTTACTTTTAGCTTCAGACGCCAGTATCAGCCTTTGAGTCTCAGTAGACTGCAGTATCTTATTGATTTGGGTCGAGTTGATCCTACACAACCTATTGACTTAACCCAGCTTGTCAATGGGAGAGGTGTGACCGTCCAGCCGTCTAAAAGGGATTATGGCGTCCAGCTGGTGGAGGAGGTAAGCCTGCATTCGGTTTTTTGGAGTTACACAGACGGCTTTCTGACTTCCGTATAATCAACACTCTGCCTCCTTTGTTTTTATCCCCTTTGATTTGTCGTGACCGTCATGTAGTGGCGACTGTTACACTGGGTTGTGGTTTTGGAAAGCCGCACGCTGTCTTGGGGGCCGGGGTCGGGGGGCTCTGTTCCCATGTGTCTGTTCCGCTTGCTCCCTCGCTCTCCCTTTGGTTCTCTGTTTGAACGTCATCCTACTAGGAAGATCTTTTTGACGTTCTTTATAAAGGAGCACTCTCACCCGCATAACCCAACTGCCTTACTTTGGCAAAGGCTTCTTGAATGTATGAACACCTGACGTTCATTACCAGGTAATGCATTTGAGTGTCATTGTCTTCCTCAATGTAATGTCAGTTCTTTGAGAGCAAGTGCTTTGATTCATTGCTGTATTTTCAATATTGGAAATATTAGCTCATGATAGTCACTCAGTAATTATGGAAGAAAGGAATAAATCAAATCTAGTTCTCATTGTAGTGAAAAGGTTTTCTATTTATAGAAATTGGCCAGGAGTTTCATAAGCAAATAAAAGTGCATTGTTAATCAGCACCTGTTTCTTGTATGTCAGTAATACAGTAAAGCTGTGTAAGTGACTGCATGTCCACCAGGGGGCAGCATATGTTTCCGGGAAGACCATTTAGATTCCTTTGAAACAGTAAATACGGCTAAAAGCTTTCTGAATAAAATGATTTGAAGGGAGAATACCAAATACACGAATAAGCCTCAGTGCTCTGCTTTGGGTGTATAAGGAATACACATGTAGATCAACATGTGGAAAAGCCCACGATCTCCCCAGGCATCAAACTGCACATCCAGCGGCTTTGGGGCTTTTGTGTCTTAAACCGGCAGAAGTCATTCTGCCGTCTGCCCCAGGGCAGTGGTTGAGTGCAGTCACACATCACCTACAGCCCTGTAAACTGGGTAAACTTTTCTGGATTTCAGATTTGCGGTAAATCACTGTTTTGTCTTTCAGTGCAAAATTACCAATTTGGAATATATGTTCTCAAGGAAGAACAAAATGAAAGAAACCTAATTAAAGAAATTGTAAATATGCTTCTTAGCGTACTGGAAGTACTGGAACCAACCCCGGTGCCCAAGGGGAGGGAAACGGTTAAGTCTTCTATGGAGCAGTAATTAGAAATCTCAAATGCTACGGCAAGACCTTGTTTTATTGATCAAAGGTGCCACTGACTGTGAAAATGCCCACCAGTGTCACAGGCGGGGAACGTGAGAGAATGTGTCTTGGAACTGATGGCATGTTTTGAAGTTGGAAGCCAGCTTGCTTCAGGCACACCAAAGTAGCAGAAGATTTGTATCACTGCAAAAAGAACGGTGACCATCTATATTTTTGCCAGACTTTGTTTTGAAATTAGAGTAAAATATGACATATCTTAACTCAAGTGACCAAGGACAGGACTTTAAGCAGTTCAGTGCTACATTTGTATTTCTGCCGTCCTCTCCGCCTCCTTCCCTAGAGGGCCTGACCCTTTGACGCTCAAATGCCGTTGTCAGATGTTTTGTTTCTCGCCGGTTCTAGCTTGCTGGTCCCCCTCTTTGACCATCTCTTGGCCTCTGGCTTATGCGTGGGTAAGGAAGGTGTGTTTTTGTCTGTATCACACTGCATGCTGTTGTGGCAGGAAGGCAGGCACCAGGAGTAGACTCCCTAGCTCTGTCATCTTGGGCAAGTTGCCTAAACTCTCTGTGCTTCAGTGTCGCCATCTGTGATGTTGGTGTGGTGATAATTCTGTTGGTTTAGGGTTGTTTGCGGATTAACTAGTCTCCTGTTAGTGAAGCAGTGGGAAGGAGCGCTTACGCTGGTGTCTGCTGAGAACATACAATGGAAGTGTAACCATCCCTGCTCATAGGAAGTGAAGATTGGTAAAACAAGCTGGCCTAAAAAAGGGTGAAAGAATTTGATGTTGTTTGGTGGGACCTCAAAGCAGAGGTATTTAAAGTAGGAATAGCTGCTACCTTGTGGGCACTTTGGGGAGAAACGGTGTATAAGGCAGCCCGCTCGAACTGACCCCGTTGTAGGCCAGTGGTCTGCTCACAGTCCTTGTGTTGACGTGTGACAGGGCGCTGACACCTTTAAGGCGAAGGTTAACATTGAAGTGCAGCTGGCCTCGGAGCTCGCCATCGCTGCGATTGAGAAGAACGGAGGCGTGGTCACCACCGCCTTCTACGACCCCAGGAGCCTGGGTAAGCTCGTCCTCAGA